AAGCACGGGAGATCACTTCGCCCACTGCCTCATCGCCTTTGATAATGTCCACCGCAGTTGTGGACGAAACGTCAGGAAGAAATTCCCATAGACCACTTCAAAGCCCGGAAAACATTCCTAAATGTGAATGTTATATTTGTTTGTTCTGCCATGTTTCTTTGCTAAAAGTGTTTCTAGTTTATTTTTTTGTTTTGCTTTAATCTTGTTGAACACAGTTTCATATTTTTGCTCTTGCTGTTCGTAAAACACCCGGTATATTGAAGAATTTTGCAAACCAAAAATAATATCCTCAGAAGACAAAGAAAAAGATCTGAAAGTAAAAGAAATCAATATAAACAGTATTTTATTGGCTTTGTGTCCAGAATGGACAAAATTAATACTCCAAATGTATGCCAAAGCTTAAAGCAGCAACAACGCTACACGTGTAAGTAAAAATATTTAAGTATCTGAACAAAGAAATCTAGTCTCTTCCCAAATTTGATTGTCCTGACTAATCACCTGTTAGGCCTAATTAAGTTTAGAATGTTTTAAAGTGTTGCAATTGTGATGTATTTTAATGTGTGATATGATGAGGCTGATGACAAACTATGATAGTTTTTTAAATTAATGAAAATTTTTTATGAAAGTATGTACAATTTTCTACAAAGTCAGGCAGCAGTTGTACTGTGTGGTCAAGTCGGTTGCAATATTATTGTGCATACCTACTACAGCACTCCGACAGTAGCGTCGTCTGGTGTTCATGGCCGGGCAGCTGCTCCAAATTCCAGTCAGAGGATCCAACCTTTCCACAGAGGTCAAACAGGAAGCTCCATCGTAACCCCCACACACGTAAATCAAGCCGTCAAAGGTGCAAACACCCAGGGAGGACCGTTTAGTGCCCATTGGAGTAACGTTGGACCACGTATTGGTCAGCGGGTTGTAGCATTCGGCTGAAGCCAAATCTGTAGCGCCATCGTACCTGGGGAAAGTTGCAGTTGCTGAAACCCTCAGCTGCTGAAATGTTTTCCTCCAAATTACCCTCCAACGACGTAGAGCAGACGACGCAACCCTACCACTCCCGTACGTGACCGGCGCCACTGCATTGGCGCTATGTTATGCCACAAATCGGTCTTTGGATTGTAAACTTCGCATTCGGTATGTATTGCAAACAGGGAACTTCCCCCTGAAAGACTTGGATTAACGGAGGAACACCCAGAATTTACCGATCAATAATACCGATTGCATAAATATATGGATTGGCCCCTTTGGGCTTCCTGTCCGTAGTTCTGGTGTTGGATAAGCAACATCGTTGCTCCGGTGACAAATGATACCGCATGGCTTCAATAAGCAGCTCCCTGCACTCACTGTGGTCTTTCAGCAGCCTCTCGTTGTCCACTTTGTTTATCAAAAACTCTCTATTTACCAAGGGCAATCGCACATGCACCATCAGCTGAAACTTTCACATTAAAAATCAATTTTACGAATTTTATAAGGACGTGGTTCACCTGCGAAATGTATTTTTCGCGCTCCAACAAGTTGTGCTTGACCCAGTTGAGAACGCCAGTGAAGACGTCTTCTTCAGATGAGATATTCAGCTGGCTGTTGGAAATCAGCTCTTGGACTTGCTCAAATGGCAGCAGCAGGAACTCTTCGGTATTTACCACTTGCTGAAAGTTCTGCAGAGCGTAGGCGTGCGACTTGAGGTGAAGCTCTTTGCAAGAATGCGTGTCTGAAACAAGAAGGTCGTTCTAGGCTGGTCTCATGCTTCGCCGATGTGTCATCACCTGCAAAACTTCTGATCCCCAGACAATTTGTGGGATGCAACTGCTTGAGCAGAAACCGCCAACAGGCCTCTCGCACTTCTTGCAGTTGAAGCATGCTGCTGGCTGGCAGAAGAACCTGAAGTTGCACTAGTTGAAGCCAATGGAGGTAAAATAGTGGTGTCTTACGTTGACATTGTCCGCAGTAATCGTAAGCTGGCCCGTATAGGCATAGTCCAATAGCAAGTCCATCGCGGTCGGATCCATGTCATAAATCGCAATTTCGGTTTGTGTCTGTTCTTTCATTTCGCCTAGTAAACGGGAGATTGTGTGGAAGGTGCAATCATAGTTTAGGTAGACTTACCGTTGAACATGGCAAAAAAGTAGGCACTAACTGAAGCTAATACGACTTTGTGAGCTCTAAATTTCTCTAGTCCTATTTTTAAAATAACATCGCACAACTAAAAAAAACTCAGATGAAAATCTAGTATAGTGACTCTAAACCGAATCTAACAAAAAACATCATCGATTGCTGCTAGTGAATTTAAATTGAGCAAATTTTCATTGAGCAAAAGGCCTTGTTTTTAATTTGCTTTCTACATTAAGCGTTTTTTGAGATTTCGCGCTCCATGGGCGGATCCAGCTTTAAATTCAGGGCGGGGGTTATGTAGAAAAAATACAGTCTTCTGTTGTCTATGAAATTAGAAAAATTGTCGTCGTTTTGTGCAAGGGTGGCGT